CCACAATGCAGCCTGGGTGGAGTAGTTGAACACAGATCCATTGATCCTTCAACACAGAGCATCTTCAGAAGACAAAATGATAAATTAAACTTTAAAAAGCTGTATTGTTCGATACAGTATTGAACCTAAAGCACTGTATTGAACAGTTTGATATGGGCACATGTATTGTTGCACCTCTAATACATGCATACAGCTTTATTGTACAAAAAGTGACTCACCTTAGAAAGCAGGAGGACAATTTTGCGTATTTGTGTGTTCATGTGTCTGCTGGCAAAATACCTCCTGAACTACTGGATGTATTTTATTGAAACTTGCAGAACACAATCACTGATTTACAACTGGTTACCGATCAGAGGCAATGTGGTTCAAGATGGCTGCCACAACCAAGTGACCTTCAAATTCACATAAATGGCTAGAACTCAGTCTACTTTTTAGATACTGAGATAAAATCTGATGTAGTCATAACTGAGGCTGATCCCATATATTGTGAGTATCAACGGATTGCACCAGATTTTTGTTTAAAAGGTTTAATAAAATTTAATCATTGGCTGAACATCTACAATTGAATAACTCAAACTAAGATGGTCACCACAGCTATGCAACCTAAACAAACACTTTCCTCGAATATACATGTTCAAATCTCTGTCCTGCCAAGGGTTATTTCTTGTCTAAGTTAAGAAAACCCAATGAATGTTGGGTCTTTAAATAAACATTGTTTCTTTTCTGTTTTTTAGTCTTAAAAAAGTCTTCCTTCCTTATAAAACATCCTGTGTGACATCAGTGTGTTAGGTAAGTCCTACTGTGTAAAACTCAAGCTTTGGAGAATATTGACCATTTTAACTGGAATAAAAAAAAAGTTTTTTTTTCTATGTGTGCAGTTGAAATAGACTAAAATGAATATAAGGTAAGTTAGCTTCCAAACACTTAGGAAAAATAAAGTTTAAAAGTAAACAGAAATGTTTACAGGTTTAGGAAAAATGTGCTTAATGCTGCCTACTGGGAAATACTGGAAATACTACACTAAGCTTTTCAGTATCCTTCACGTCAGAAACAACCACCTTGGAATCCAAAACCATGTCAACTGTGCGTCACTGAAAATGTCTTTTTATTTACTTATCTTTGTGAACAAACTCATTCCACACTGCACATCTGCCTGCCTTCAATCTCACAAAATGGAACAGTTCATTGACTTATTAAAACATTGTTTTTTAACCTTTTTAAACAGGCCCAAAAAAAAAGAAAAAAAAAAACATTTCCCATGCCTTTTTTGTCATCTGGATTCCAGATGAAATTCATAGCGTAAGCTGAAAAAAATCMTTGCAAATTATTGCAGCCTCCACATGCAGTATTATACAAGAAAACTTTAAAAATGTTGTTTTTGTTGAAGATAAAAACCACTTGGTCACTTTATTTTTTTTACACCAGCACAAGTGAGCGTAATCAATAAAAATCCACAAGCTGGCGTCTACAGCAACACGTTCACTCAAGTGGTTGAGTCTTTCTTGAGCTGCGGCAGCATAATTCTCCATTAATTCCCAGCCATGGAGCACGGCGTGTCCAATGCTTTGATTATTTATTGGTAAGTCGGTTCAGCCATTGTTACCCGGCATTAAAAACTCACAGTGTTCCCTGCGATGTTTTGAGAACAGTGTGGTTTTCTCAGGCCCCTGGGAGCTTCTGCCTCTCTCCAGCCACACTGGCTTTTAATAAGACATTTGCATGCCCAGGACACATTCTGTTCCTTCTAATCGGACGACTCGGATGGAGGACCACACCTGCTGCCCTCCACCCCCACCTATTTACCTTTCTTTTTCTGGCTATTGGTTTACATCCACTCGTCCATTTTTTTTTTTGAGGAGGTGTCTGCACATCCTCATCCCTTCCCCCCCTCACACCTGTCACAATTTAAATAAATCATCCCTCTGACCCATGGTGTCTCAGGAAAACACATTTTTAGGGRAACTGACCAACACTCAAATCCGACTAGGTGGATAGATTTAACTACTTTTAGAAACAGTGTAATTTAAACCAGTTTTATGTCCTATGAATAAAATTGGTTTATAACACCCAAATTTTGCCTCTGATGGAAACTAATCATCTCAATTAGCACTATTTCTCTCAGTCCACGAGCACTGGTCACCTTTAAAAGTCAAGAACAATTTTACCATTCTCTAATTTCCTGAATGGGGTATTCATTTATAAAGAAGAAGCCCTTCTTTATCTTTAGAAACCCATCCCATCATGTGTCCATGAAGGGAGTTCACCGCCTGTGTAAGATTAGCTATCGGGCTCAGGCTTCAGGTTTCCAGTGAGGCTGTTAACCTGCCCTTTGACCCCTAACTCCCTGCTCTTGCAAAGAAAGAAAAAAAAAAGTGAGTGAGCTCACAACTTTGAACTTTGCTGAAATTTTAAGAGAGCGAGCTCATTCTGAAAGTGCTCGACCTCAATCAATCTGAGTGGTCGGTTTCTATTTGGAGGCTGTCTTTAAGTTTTACATAAAGGAGCTGTGGTTCACCTTACCATGGGGCTATATTTGTCAATTTGAACTATTTTTCTGCAGCAACTCCGCTGTTTAGCTCTTAACCGCAGTGATTCTAATAGATGTAGGCTGCATTAGGATATGAAATAAAATGTAAGTTACATATTAAGAGCATTATTATTTATCTACAAATGTTATTTGTTTGTAGTGCATTTTTACATAGCAAATAAATAAAAAAAATATATGTGGGACTACATTTCGAACTTAGCCTTTCAATGTGCATATTATTTTTTTGTTAAAAAGACAACATTGTGAAACAGGAAATACAAAATTACACTGCATGATCTCATCTAGGGACAACTAAACTCCCTCGTCTCAGCGCATACCTAAATAGACTCCCCCAAACAAGACTCCTGTTTTCATCCTGGCTAAATTAACTTACGCTACACATGACAACACTTTACATTTTAAACTCGAAGCTTAGAGGTGACACTTTGACAGATTCCGCAACAGACGGAGTTTCTGTGGGTAAAGGGGCGTTCACCGACAAATGCCAAACCAGCAGTGGCGTTAAGTTGGACTAGAAAACCGGAAACAAGAAAGCGGCATGACTAAGACCTTCAACGTAAAAGCACGCGTTTCGACTGTGTCAAATTTAACAAAAATACATGCATAAGCGTGAAAATGTAGCATTCACATCTGTATAAATGTGGCTTAAAATATGTTTTCTGTATTTAGGGCAAATAATTAAGTACGAACTAACGAGTTTAATTTAAAGATGCTTTTATTTTGAAAGCTCAAAAGCGGACGCTTTATYCTGGTTTCAATTAACTTGTCCCCGTAACACTGACAGACTAGTTTTCAGCTGAGCAGTGGTCTTATGTAACTTTAAAAGTACTCATGGGTTTAATGGCGCTAAGGGCGGTCGTTTCACCGCAAATTGTATAATTCGCCGCGGACTAAAAACCGGAGATTCGGAGCGGAACGACCACCTTGTTTATCCCCGCCTCTACTTCTTACTCTTTATTTGCTTTCTCTTGCCGGCGAACGCGCATTAAAAGTTGTCGACGGATCCGCGAAAGGGCGCGCGCACACACGGTGGAAGTGGCGAGCGTCAGCGGCGACGTTGTTGAGCTTTAGTTAGAATTATCGCAGAGAATGTTTTCCTGCCGGGAGGAGGGCGGCACGCCAGCGACTTCATCTGATTTTTCGCACAGCAACATTTGGGCAAGAACTGGGGCTGCTGCGAAAGCCAGATCCAGCGGATATTGATTTATTTATCTCATCATATTAATAGATTTTATTTTTTGTTTGTTTGTTTATCCCCGCAACCCAGCTGATCGGACTCAGAGGAGATGACCTAACCGGTGGAGTGGATGTTTTTCTCACTACAGGTATGGACTATTTCTAGGTGGAACAACTTATTTTCTTGGTGCAGAGAAAGAGAGAGAGAGTGGGGGATGAGAGAAGTAAAAACTGGCTCCGTCGACTAGGCCGACGAGCGTCCGCGGTGAAGCGCGCGGACAGCCCGTCACCGAGTGGCACACATAAACAAAGCTCACCAACACTCGGTCAGCCTATCTAAACCAGGAGTTTTAATCAACTGAACAAGGGACAAACTTCACCAATGTTTTTTATTTTTATTTTTATTTTTCTCGTCACGCCGTGTAAAACTGGTGCAGTTTCCTTTTCCAGCCAACAGGTTGCACTAATCCTGTAATGGTGGGAAAGTGCACGTCTGAAAACCTCAAACTTTTTTTTCCCCCTTTTAAAGTTCCAACCAGCTCTCGTTGTTGTTTTAATTAAAAAAAAGAATATCTAAATCTTACTTGAAATTTTAAATTTAACAGGTAACTAGAGTTTTTATYAGGTGAGCAATGGGTGTGGGAAATGAATCGGTGTCAAAAAGTCTTGTTTATTAATATTTTATGTCAGGGATTAATGYGTTAATCGGTTTCAGATGATCTGCCAACACCTAAGCGCTATAGTATTTTTAAAAATGCCTTCTTAAATACTGTAAATCCCTATACAAATACATAGAAAACAAAGATGTTGACCAATCATAACCTATTTGTTTATTTTATTTTAGTTGTTAAATACACAAAATGGCCAAAAACAATGGAATAACCCTGTTATTAACCCTGKAATATTGTTCGGTCACATTTCTGTATCTTTAATAGCTGGAACAGTTTTGACTGAATTGTTTTAATTTTTTTTTCTCTCTGAAATGGAGATAGACACTCACCGTTGCCTGCAGCAAACACCCAGAGGCCTCGGAGTGGGTTAATCTCTTTCGACAGATGCATGCTGTTGCACATACTTACTGTATGAGGGATTGCCAGCAGTTTCACTTGCGCAGCAAGTTATGCCTGGGCTTGTCTCACGCTTCTCCACTCTTAAACCGTGAGGAGGTTGCAGCTTAATACAACCACCGAGATCGTATTAGTCATTTCTGTTTTATAGAGGCTGTGGTCCCATTTTGTGCTCCCAACTTGGGTTGGTTTGTGCCTCAGCCATGTTGTGCCAGTTTTGAAAGGAGGTGATGGCCGATCCGGTTGTTGTTTGTTTAAAAATAAATAGATAAGAAAGCAGCAGACACTGCAGTGTACTTTTGAACTCTCCCATGATACTTTTCATTGCAGAGGTTGCTAATTGTTGCAGTAATTGATCAGTGTTTCAGTCAGTCTTCTGCTGTTGTATTCTAACATTTTTAAAACTGTATTTCTTCTAATGTTTGATTTTGTACATCTTTGTAAGTGTCATTCTTTCTTTGGTTCACTCCTTGTGTTGTTAATTTCCTTTTGTAGAATGAAGAAATGGATCAGGGTGGACCAAAGCACAACGGTAATCAGAACAACAACCTGACATTTGGGGAGATAGCACCTGAATTAGGCAGAGATACGTCCGCTTTATTGCTCCAGTCTACGATGCATCTGCCCGGTCCCGGGAATCAGACCCAGAGTACGCTAGCCCCGAACGGACAGGGTGGAACAAAAGACCAGGGGAACTTCGGAGGCATCTTTGAGTCACCTCACCTTCATGCTCCATGTGAGGGATCCGATAAGGAGGCTAAAAGGATCAGAATGCAGAAACAAGAACAGGATATATTCAGCATTGGGGACAATTTGTCATTGTTGAACCAGAATATTTCAGATCTCAACCAGACGTCCACGTCTATCATCACCACTTCAGAAAGCTCTGTGCTGGGTAACCTCCCTCTGCCAGACCTGTTCCCCCAGCAAATCAAACAGGAGAGGGTCTTTTCCATGGATAAGGACTTGGGAAATTATTGTGGACAAACAGGTGCTGGTTCTAGCAATTTGGATGGCAGCAGTCAGCTAATTGACGATTCAGAGATTTGGCAAGACCTCGACCTGTCCAGCTCACTGCCAGAAATCAGTGATTTTGAGTTAGATTCAGAGGTGGCACATCTGGATAACATCCTGCAAGAAAACAGCCTCGGTGGRGGTTCCATCATTGGCTTGCCGAAGGAAACCAAACCCCTCCTGGGTAATGGAGAAAACTGTACCAGTGTGAATGGCATGGAGCAGCAGCGTCGTCACCCAATGCAACAGCAGCAACCTCCCCAACACCTGGTTCAGCACCAGCAGCATGCGCTTCAGCCCCAACAGTCTCCAACCATGATATCTGGTGTTGTCATCAAGGAGGAGAAGGATCCGGATTTCATCCACTTGAGCACTCCTGGTGTGGTCAAGCTGGAGAGACAAGACAGTGCTGGTTACTGCCAGTCGCAGTGTCTCCAGGGAGGCATGGGTTCTCTCCATGGAGGAGGAGCAGGCTCCATGTCATCCCCCATGGGTGTTGGTGCTGGACCCTCGTACAGCTACGGAGCCAGTCAACCGTCCACAGTGAACCTGCCAGACCAGAAGCCTTTTGGCGCCTTCTCAACCCTGCCTGGGGTTGGCGAGAGCTGGCTAGGAGGGAAAAGATACGGAGAGTCRTCTGGGATACCGAGCGGCAGCGATGGCCTCCAGTCGGCAGCAGCTTTGGCAAATTTTCCTGTCAGCTTCTCCAGGTGTGTCTTGAGGATTTACTTCTTCCCTCTCTGTTTGCTTTTGTATTTGCCCTCTTTCTTCRGTTGATTGACTTTGCATTTATGTACTTTAAAGAGCTTTGCTGTACTTTTAACTGCAGCTAAAAACTGATGGTGAACAATGTAAAAAGGTTTCTTAGCATTCAAACAGTGATTTAAACTCACTGCTGCTTTTAATGCCATTTAATAGCTAAAATTTAGTACATTTTAGTGTTGGAATACATTTTACAACTTGTGTGTTGGCGACTTTCTCATATAAAATATAACACTGATCAGCTGGAGGGCTTCTTGCACTTATCAATAAGCAGACACAGATGGGCACATTCTTTTACTTTATTCATATGGTGTTACATTTTAGTACAACTATGGATAAATTCTAGGGGTCATTTTTTTGCTGAAAGGTCTTTGTTAGAGGACATAGAAAGGAATTATTGTCAGGAAGGAAAATGTTGGGTAAAGTTATGAAGTTTTGTCATATTTTTCTGGCTATGTATTTTTGAATATTATAGGCTAGAGCAGTGTTTCCCAAAGTTGGGGTCGGGACCCAAAGTGGGATCCCGAAACATCAAGGTGGGGTCCTGAAAAGATTTTCTGAATTAATTACATTTTTGCCTTAGTTGTTACAAAGGAGTGAGGTTAGTRTATTTAAAATGGATAAATGTAGTATAAAAATATTGTTACTATG